CGACGCTCTACGGTTTTTTGTTCAAAGAATTTGGCGACTTATGGGCAAACGTCGCGATGTGCATTGGCCTCGGGATCGGCACTTTGCTCACGATCATGATACCCAACGATTTGAGACGCCAGAACGCGAAGGTTTGACAATCTAAACGGCAGTCAGTCGTAACGGGCAGTGACGGGCTTCCACAGCTCGGTTACGAGTGATCTCCGCCTTGACAATTCTCCCCGCGACACGTCGTCATAGTCCATTTGGGACTTAATTTATTCTTCACACGAGTACACTATATGCGCCAAGAGTAGCGCTGTTTCTCTGAATCATGTGTACCTATCGAGAAAAGATGTATCTTTTCCGAAACTAGAAGTTCTGAAAATAGGAGTTCTGAAAAAGACTAGTTGGAGATACTAGAATATGAAAAATATAATTATTTTTCATATAAGATTCTCAAATTTTTATTTTAATATTTACACAAATATTTGATTTAGCGCTTAGTGTCTAAGTGCTTGAAAATTAGAAAGCTAGAAAGCTGTGTTTTAGAAATAATGGTCCAATTTCGTGTGAAGAAATTTAATAGCCAGATTTGCCAAATCCAAAAAGAAAAAAAAAATAAATATATATTTTTGTCTTCACGCTATACATTCTTAGATATAATGGAAACACAAAGTGTTCTATTGGTCGTACAAATGACAATGAAAAACAAAAATTGTTGGAAAACTCCTCTCGATCCTGTTGTTCGCTGGTCTTCTTTAACTCAGGTAAGTTGTAGTATTTAGATAGCGTTATGCAGCAATGAAATAATTATGCCAAAAATTGGTGAATTAATTTTACGAATTATTAATTATAAAAGTTTAAGGAAAAAGTTTTAGGAATTTATGCATTATAAAATCGTGTATTCTCGTACATCTATAACAATGAATTTTACATTGAATTTTTGTCTCTTTACATTTTCTTCAATTTCTATGTCTTCCTATTAATTTATTTTAATATTGATGAGTAAGATGATTGATGATAAGAAGAAAAAAGATAAATTCCTTAGTTTGAATTAAAATATGTTAAAACAAATTTCTTGTTGCGTAACGTTAATTTACAAAATGCCTAATCGTGAATCTGTACAAACTTTCAGCCGCGCAAATATTTGTTGCGGATAGATATTGTGTGTGCAAAAGATATAGATAAAATAATTAAAAATTACAAGCCTAATAATAATGATAGTCCAAGTGCGATAATATATAAATGTTATATAAATGTTATATAAATATATAAGTAGAAAAGAGTGTAATATAACGATAACGAACATGGATTCTATCTCTGTTATCTCGTGGCATTAATTATTGTCGATTAATGTCCACTATAATAATTGTTATATTAAAAGGATAATGATAGAGCGATTGTAGTTTTTCGCAATGAACATGATATGATATATTACTTTTTGTCGCAATATATAACTTTTCTTCTTGTATTTAGTCTATCCGGCAATAATGTAATATACCTAGTTCTAATTGTTACTATTTGCGTGGAACTACAATTTTAATCGCTCGTTTTGTGTGATAAAGAAATTGGCGTACAAGATAAAATTATTTTCCTATTTCGAAAGACGAGCGTTTCGTTAAAATGTATAGCTATATTTATAAATTAGAGTCTGTACAAGACCGTATTTTATCGCGGTATACATGAAATATAAATTTCTTTTTTTTTGGGGTTTTATTTTATATATCGAGTATTCGAATCATTGTTATGTCGAATCCCATTTTTAATCATTCATTTATCTTGGGATATAAAGAATCATTTATTAAAAGATGAATATACGTTATTTTATTATTGCGAATATTGCCCAAGGACGAACATTTTATTAGAATGTATAATATTTTTACGAAATAGCTCGGATTAACTTGGCGGTATCCAATGATAATACATTCATATTCAAATATGAAATGTTTTATCTTACAAGGAAGTCATACTTAGCGATAAGAGGGTATCTAACTGCGAGTATAAAGCTCTTTAAAACTTCTAAGATCACCTTGTGTGCCATTAATACGATGTTTAATATTGCTTTTTCAATATTATATGAGCGAATAGCGTTCTATATTTTGCAATCGATCGATATCAAAATCAATGGCTATTTTTTAAATCACCCAGACACATTTTAAAATATCCGCCTTTGAACCGACAAATAAATTGTCTTCCAAGCGATATTTCTTCATTATATTTTTTAAGCCATTTATTGTTCTCATAAGATGGTTCTATTTTATAAATAAAATGTTTAAACAATATAATCTGTTTTTTACATTTTATACATTGATCAAACTCTATATATTATAAAAAAGAGATGTCAGTTTTTATAGATATATATCATAAGAAATACGAACCTATTGTGTCTTAATATCGATATAATAAATTTGCATATAATTAGAGAGATATCAATATAAAATGATATGTATAGATATCTTTTATATAATAAAAGATATTTATTTTACATAAAGTTTCGAAGTGTACACAGCTAGTTTATAGCTAGATGTTTGTATGCAAATAGAGATTAAAAGACACAAATGTGATATTATATCAATAATCTTTTATTTAAGAAATCTTCTATCTTACATTTTTTTAAATATTACGTTCTCGATAACGTGATATATGCACGGTATGTGGTGAGATGATAAGAAGTCCTATCGTATTTTACATCGATTCGAATGTGATAACATGATTGTGACGTTTCTTTTCCTGTTTGTTTATTGCAAACTTTTTTTTTACGTTGTTGCAAATATAAAAAGTGTTTCATAATGTGTAAATTCGCATTTAAATACGGAATTGCAAATAACAACAACTGAAATTCAAAGAATAAATGTATTTGTTACAATCTTATTCTATGAGTTTCTTCATCCTGAAGAAACGACGGAAATAGAAGAGTTGCCAAGTGGATAACCCGAAAAGAATGCATATCGAGAATAAACTGAAGTATAGCACTCGAGTGTTTGTAGCCTCTGAAATAAAAAAAGACGCTCATTCATCATTAATTAGATTATCAAGTAGCATATGAAAACAATAGAGAAGTACGAAAATGTAACTATTTTAATGTGCACATCCATTATTTATAATTTAAAAGTTTATTATCATTTTATTAAAGCCCTTTTTCTACTATTGGAGAAAGTAATATTGGCTATGAAATATCTTGTATTTTTCCTAAGCGATGTAGTTTTTTATATCTTTTTCTTACCATTTGTATCTCTCATTTCTTCCTCGTTCTTGCGCATTCTAGCGAAATCTTGCACTATCGCCTCAGACAAGTCCTCCAATCGTTTCAATTCCACTTCTACTGGTTTTAACTTGGCTGCTTCGCCGATCTATTAGTGAAGAAAATAATGATTCTCACGGAAATTGGCGATAATAAAAATCTCAGCGGTCTCGTTAATATCGGTATAATCAATCGAAAAAAAGAACACATTTATTATAAAATTAAAACCAAATAATGATCTTTGTATGTGTTTTGTACAAAGTAACAAAAAAGATTATTAGGCGGTACTGCAAGTTCCAAGATTACAGTAGCTTTAGAGCTACTGTAATAAATAAAATCTTTAAGAATCAAGGATTTTAATAACTAATTATTTAAAAAATTAGTTATTAAAATCCTTAATTCTTAAAGATCTTATTTTGAATGTAGGTTTTATATCAGAAACTGTAGAAAATGTCCACTCAAAAATATCTAAATAATCAAATATTTTAACTTACATAAATTTGTCAAATTTCTTAGAAACAGAAAAATATTATGATATAACAAAAGAATATATATATTGTAATCTCTGAAAGATATTGTACGATCAAATTATTTAGTATTTTGTGTCTTTAGTATTATTGAAAAAGAGCTGAAACTCAATATTAGCATGTATTACTATTATACTACCTACTATTATACTATACAAGGATGTACCATTAACATATTTTTGAAAAATCTAATCATTGAAATGAAAAATATGTTCTCTGCAGAAAAATCCAATAATTTTTAATGGCTAAAATATTTATCCCAAATATTAATAGTCAGAACTAGTAGTAAAAATTCTTATTAGAATATAATAATACGTTTAATTGTAGAGTAAATATAATTGATTTTAGTGTTGAACACTTATTATGTTTGTGCAAATAAAATAATAGTTCTCTGTTAATAGAACATCGGCATAAAAATCATGCAAAAAGTAATGTAATTGTGCTATGCTCTATCAGCTTAATCTTAAGCTTGGCTACCATATACATATGTCAGTTTGTGACAAAATGCATGCTATGTGTGTGAAAACACAATATTGAAAACTCTACTTTACCAACTGCATCGCGGAAATAAGCCACATATAAAGAGAAAATAGATAAAATAAGATCAGAGTTTCTCGTTAAACGATGTCGGAAATAGGATAGGTATATTTACAATAAATATAATCATTCGTAATGATATACAATGCATGGACTTACGCCTTCGTAACTTTTCGCTTCAATGCCGCGTTTCGTGATTAGCGTAACTTCTTGTCTGACACCACGTTGATCTGAAATCATATATATATATATATGTATGTAAAATCTTATATTTTATGTAAGAATCTGTTAGATATATACATTTTTATATGTACTTGTTCAGTTTAGTAGACCAATCAAATTAACAATAATTTCACAACAGAACACAATATGATAAATAAAATAAAATAAAATAATCTAAGTATACGTACGATTTGGAACATGTGAAGCAAAGCATATTTCAAAAGTATCATAAGTTTCAGTTACAAAGGAGAACTTCAACTGCTTCCCATGAGGAATATCTTCCTTCTGGGACAATATGTGTCCTTTGGAATCCTGTATCTGTAAATAAAAAAAAATTATTCATTTAAAAATTTCATATTTGTTATCATATTGAAAGAAAAAATGAAATTTTCTGTCACAGCTGTCAGTCCATAATGAAACATGACATGTGTAGTTTTGTCTTTTCTAACCTCTGCTCCTACACGATTATATCCGACAAAGGATGAATGAAGCATCCTACGATAAATCACAATCTACTCACCACGTAATCGGTTTTCTGACCCATCGCCTCGGACACTTCGTATTCCCCCGTGACGAGTACATCCGCTTGAACTTCCTCTTTGAGACACTTGTGACTGTTCGGTCCCAGATAGAACATGATACCGTGAGCCTGAGCGATCAAGAAAATCGCCAGGAGAGCTCTAACGCGAGCGTTATCCATTCTATTTGTTATTGTCGATTATCGTTCTGGAAAGGCTCTGATGGGCTTCGCCGTATTACCAGCAAGTTCCACGCATTTACAGAACATTCGTCAACATCACGATGAGGGATGAGGTGGCAGCCATTGACCATTAAATACTAATAATAACTTAGAGAGGAGGCACGGACTTTTTATATACTTGGCGATTGATCGCTCTTCCTTACATGCAAAAACGTGAGTAGTTTGAAATATATGAATATTTATGATTATAAAAAAAAGATTTCTTATGATTTCTACTCTATATATTTTGAAATATAGAAATATATAATTCGTTGAAGGTTTTAACATTCATTACGGACGATCGATTTCAGTTACGAGGGTCTTCTAAGAGTTTCGCATAGTCAATGGTTCTGTCAATATAAGCAAGAATTGCGGCTGCATTTTCTAACCTCTCGTCTAATGACTTTTAGGCGATTGCTTTCAACGGTTTTTGACATTTGACATATGCTACCATCGTCAGAATGGTCCTGTTGGAGAACGACGCGGTAATTTGATATTTCGCCGGTGCATCGCTTCCTTAAACGTGAAAGACTAACCAATGAATCTTAATTGCAGTTCTTAGCGGAGCTAACCAAACTCTTTGAGAAGTCGCGTCTGTCTGGTGCAGTGTCACTCACTATTAAGAGATGTGAGTATATCCTCCGTTTTTCACTCATTCATACCTAAAACTTAAAAAATAATTTCGCATTTTTATCAATTTATTTGAAAAATACTGGCCTTTTTTTAACTCTAGCGAATTACATTACAAGTTTGACAGGAAAATAAAAAAAAGTTTAACGGTGAAAATTAATATGCTTTTTTATTTTTATTTCTTCCCTCTCCTTGTACCTGCACTAAAAGGTTTTTTATTTTTCTTGCAGTTAATGGACATAATAAACCTGTGCCCAGGAAAGGTAGGCCTTCTCTACCGACTCCGACAGAGTATCTTTGTCTAGTTCGTGCATCTTTTCGCAATAAGAAAATCTCTACTGTTGTGCGTATCTGTTTTTCACCGACAGATGACAATGGCTCATTTACATCTCTCTGACATAATATTTTCATTTTTCAGATTCATTCCAAAGATGTAAACAAATTCCAACAGGCGTATTGGACTCTCTTAAAGACAAATATAAGTGGGCTGAAGAAACTGAAGAAGGCAAAATCAACAAAGCCGAAGGTTCACTGACCCAAGGAGGACTAACTGCATAGCAGTTGTTCATTTCTTTGTTATTAAAACTCTTTTATATACTGTGTTCGCCATATATCGACATTTGTCTACTACGTAAACCGAGGAGAAAGATGCATTTTGTGCAACATTTTGTATAGACTAATGTATAAAAGGTAAATAATATTGTTATGAAGCACATACATACAACCGCATTTTATAAATGCGCATTTTCATAAACTTGTGCAATCATAATAAAGCAATATTCAATTATTCGGGACAATTATTCGATTAAAATTCAAAATGAATAACCGGGAAAGAAATATCTATTGTCAAATATTTCTTACCCGGAGCATCAAATTTAAACGGAGTTTTATATTGAGCTTATTTTTATCCATCTATTTGATATATAAATTTGAGTTTGATACATAAATTCAGGAGATAACATTCATTATATATATTTTATTACTATCTTTTATTTTTTCTTATTTCTTTGTTGAGTTACATATGTGGAGATATGTGTGTGTAATAATAAAATAATACTTCTCTTTATAAAACTTAAATATCTGCAGATATAAAAAAGAGCGCATCGTCGCTCTTCTATACATTTTTATCGCATTCTCTGCATTGGAAAAATTTCGAGGATACTAAATTTCGATGCCATATTGTCTTCCAAACAATAGAACCAGTGACTTGAATAATACTTCGAAATATATCACCCCTCTAATCGTTTGTCGCAGAAATATTGTTTCGAATGACGCGAAATAATCTTTGTCTCTATTCCGCGAGATTTATGGTGCTAGACTTTTAGTTGCAAAAATATCTGATCGATTTATCGCTTATCTCTCCGGTCAACTAAATAAATCTTTTTTTCGAGCAGTAATCCGCAACTACGATTACTTAATTGTTGCATATACATATACGAGCGGTTTATTTCGATAGTGCCGTGAATTACATTTCACGGATTTGTTAAAACGAAGAGAATTGCTGTAATTTGCATCTGCGTGTTAGATTCATTGCGTTTCGGAATTTGATTTCCGTCATTCTCGGAATAAATAATTCGTATTGAGTATTTCATCGCGAATCTCAAAATCATGCGTCTTAAAAAGCCTGTTAAAATAGCATTATTGATAAAAATCGCTATATTATGTTCTTATTCGACAATAATGTCAAATGAGAGAAGAGAGTTCGAAAAATTACATTGATATTGTTTTGATATGTCAGTCGGTACGATTTTATTTTTCACTTCACAAATCATGTTTTCTTCATCTTAAAGTAATCCGACGATCAGTGCGCGGCATTATGTATTCTACGAGTAAACTTTGGCACTGAATCCGAACGCAGACCATTGTGCAAAATCCTGGAGAATTGCCAATATAATATCTGATGTGTGTGTAACGTGAATTTATTATTGTATACATTACGGCCGCGAATAAACAATCGCGAGTGAATCGCGTCGTCTTCACGAATCTCTATTGCGCTTTCGTTATTGGAAAATTATGCGAATTGGATGACAAGAAATTTTGATAGTAAAAGAAGAAATAAATTCCTTCTTTCTAAAAATATAGCCCTAGTGCTATAAATTTTCAGCTTGGAGAACCAATTACTAAATTGATAACGAAGAATATATTTTCCTTCGAGTTCTCACGCAATACTTTCCATAGATATTCAAAAAAATTTGCTATTTATAACAATGAGAAATTTTATGCAACATATTAATAACAACGTACAGATGACATAATATGATAAAAATGAGTACTGATTCATTTATATCCACGCGCGAGAGAAAATTTTAAATGTACCTTGACACGATTGTCCAGTTCCAGAAGCCGTATTTAATTCTAAAAATATCGTTCTTAGAAATATACCCACATTTCTCTGATGGATCAGATCTCACAAAACAAGATTTCGTATTACAAATATAAGGCGCGTAAATTAATCAATCGGAAAAATAAATTAATGCTTCGATGCAAAAGAGAAATGTTGATAGTTTTCAGTAAGCAAAATTATAAAAAATGTAATACTTTCTTCCCCTGCTTTTCTTGTTCCCATAAAGACATTTTTGAGATGTATTTGGGATGATTTCGCCTATTCTGATCATAAGATAAGGATTTCATTGACGACATGTTAAAGTAGCCGCCTGCAACCTTAACACGAATCTATTTTTTTCGCGGATGCATCGGCTCTCTCGAAGGGGATCACAAGAGTGACGCAATATTCTCGTGTGAGTCGTATGCATGATGACGAGGCGGACGAAGAGGAACATTGAGGAGAGGAGAGACCGGACGAAGAAGACGAAGAAGAAGCGGTGTCGGCAGTCGGGGAAGCAAAATCTGGCAGAAACATACGAACCTCCATCGCGACCGCATCGTCGACGCGTATCCTACCCCCTCGCACGCGCGCACGAAAATACGACACGTCCGTTGAGAGAGCTCGAGCGCGAGAGCCTAACTCCTCGACGAATTAGTCAAGCATCCGAAAAACTTCGAGAGTAGACCAGGCGAGCCGAATAGCTACAACCATGGTTTACGAGAGCGACTTCTATACGACTCGGCGACCCTACTCGCGGCCGCTCGTCTCTTCCTACAGCGTTACGGTCAGTATTCTGAGAGATTCTGCAATTTTTTTTCTTATTTCCTTACGCCAAGAGAGGGCGGACTGGAAATGTCTTAATAATGTTTTTTGCCAAACGTGGTACTAACGCCGAGAAAGAGAGAGAGCCCCGTTTGCGACAGGAAATACCAACCCCTCGTACCTTATAGCCAGAATTAGCATCCCATATGATCTCGCTGGATCGCGCTGACGTCTCACCGGCCGATTTACGTATTCGGTATATCAATCGTTCTTTCATATATCAAAGATTTCATTCGTCTCTTTGATCGGTGTTCAAAATTTAAAATGCCTTGTTAATTTACATTTTGTGAAATAAAACATGCCACATTTCGTGATCTTTAGTAATAAAGAATGATATTTAAAATATATTGTTAGCAGCATGTTATGTGAAAAATTAATCGAGGTAAAAGTTAATCAATTCGAGTCAAAACGGATTCAATAATGATCGATGGTTGATTAATTTCGATCGCGCGCCGGATCAACGCGATATGTATTGATAATAATTCGAAGATTAAATAATTGAAAATTTCTTACACAGATCAAGTTTCTCCTAAAATAAACTAATTGCATATTAAAAGATGATAAGCATTGAAAACACAATCGATATTAATTAAATAATCTTTTAATGATTTTTCATATGTTTTATCCGCAGTCTCTCAATGTCAATCTCAGACTATATAGGTAAAATAACTTTTCGACAATAAAGCGAAATATGTGAATGCCGGAAAAAAATATCTATATAATACTCTGCTTATTAACTTTTAATCCACCATGTCGATGTGTGTGGTGTCGGTAAGATTTTTCTTTTTTTCTTTTTTTTCATTTTTCTATCGTTATCGAATATTCAATTTTCAAAAAAATGATCAAGTTTTAAAATTAATAGTTTTATAAATATTTCTGAGGAGAATACACAGAGATCTCAATAAAAAAAAATGAGAACAACGTCGGATATTCATTTAATTTGCAAATTATAATATCGCCGAGAAGATGACACAGAGCAAAATATAACAACGTTGACCCGCATTCGGTCGGTCGCGATTTTGCTGCGGTCGCGACCGACATGCCGTGAGACGTCGCGGTGCGCACGAAGCGAGGATTGAGAACTTGGCACTTGGTTCGTCGACGAGGTCGATCGACGACAGAGAGCGAGGGACGCGACCGGAAACACCTCGATTAATCCAAGCGTTCTCCGTTCTCCTCGAAAATCCCATGAGAATCCTCGTCGCTGCTGTTCGTCGTCGAGCTCGACGTCGCGACTCGCCAAAGTCATCACCGAGACAGATCTCGACTTCCACACTTCACTCCGACCACTGTGTTTATACCACTATTACTACTACTACTATACTAGCACTATACTACCAGATTACTGCTACCATTACTACTATTACTATTACTACTACTGCTATTACTATTACTACCACAGCTACTACTACTGCTCCTGTACTCGAGAGAACGTGCACTCGGTGTCCCGGAGAACGGTGAAGGGTTGAACTTTCCGGCCGGGGAAAGTTCAAAGGGTACAGAAGGATACGGCGGGAGTTTCCGGAAACACTCCAGAAGAATAGACACAGAAACTCTTACGAAACTATTATATACTATTCTCATTATATTCGCACAACACAATTTCATAGAGCTCGCAATTCAATCCCGTGAAACACAAATTCTGGTTTGATAGAAATTCGGTGAATGTTTCTCGGTTTTTTTGTTGTGTTTTTTTTTTTCTAATAATAGAGTGAAACACAAGAAGCGGATTATATATAAATAACCGCAAATTCCTGAGTCCACGGGTAAATGGATCCGTAAAAGATCTTTCCCGCGTGCGCAGGGCTTGTGATCATTGTAATTTTTTTTTGTTTTCGTGTTTAGTATGGCTACTCTTGATAAATTCAAGGGATAGCATATTAGATCTTTTGGTCCATAAACGTTGTCTATGTCCATCCTGAAATGATAAGGGAAATAGTGATGTGCGTGCAACAGGACTCGCTGCACATTGCATTATGTTAATCGCAACTCGATCCGTTGTGAGAACCGTTCGTGGATTTTGCAAAATCCGTGCAACAACATATGTTTTTAACGATCGATAAATACTTGATGTTTTTTGATTGATGTTGAATTAAATGGATTGAATGACGTTAATTAGATAGGACGAACGGATGAAAGCAGAGAAAGAGGATATTATTATAATATAATATTTTTTTTAAACGTCTCATATAAAATTTTGAAAAAATTATGTTTTTATGAAAAATATTATTACATAAGAAAACCACTGTTAATTGATTTAGTTTTTATTTAAATTATCATAACAAAAATTCGCCAAACTTTAAGAAATACCCTTTAAGAAAGATTCAAAAACTTTATTTTATTGCAAACATCATTAATTTTATTCGTTAGAGATTCGATTCCATCGCTATTTGACGAGAAATCTCTCTTAGGCATAGTTAGAATTGTCAAGAGACCGGGAATCTGGGTTAACTTTCGGGATTGCCATTGATCACCGGTCCGACGATAAGCGGCCGAAGACAGCGCGAGATAAATGGCACGTAGTTGACAGGAGGATGTTCTTGCAAAGGAAATTGTACGCCTGAAGACTGTGCTCAATTCTCAACTTGTCACAGTTAAACTAAAATCTTTTACATTCAGAAAGAAAGAGGGGGAGAAGGATAGAGACAGTCGCAATAATTACTAATAATCACTGTTTGAAATTATGAAACGTTCTTAGGAAGTAGTATATCAATCTGAATGAAAAAAATGACATTTATATAAAAATTTACAAAATAAATGAAGCATTTTGTGTTGTGTGTGATTTTATGAGCATTGCAAGTAAAAAAATGAATAACTACTCAAAATTTAAAGTGAAATTATTCACGAATAATCTTAATAATCACAAATTTCAATTACGAATTAATTTAATTTATGTATTTTCGCTCGTCAAATATTAATGGATATAAATTTCACGATTCGAAGAATACGTCATCGAATCTATCATTGTCTTCGTCAATTCTATGATATCACAGATATTTTGGCAGCTAAAACCAAACTTGTTGCATTTCAAACTGCGATGCAACTCTTTCTCGGATATAATTCGATAATCTCTGATATACGTATTCTATCGAGTCCTGCTCACAGGGCTCGACTCGGTTTGTCGGCCAAATTCATTTTTCTGCCGGTGAATCTGAGATTCGCTGGGTCACACGATATCTAAGTTTAACGTCGCGAAGTCCCGGAAAATGGCTGCAACGCTATGAATAGCTTCCGTTCTGTAATTGCCTGCCCTCCGGCAGCTCTATTTATAATGATTTTGGATTTTCCGATGTTAGATGGTTCCTGCGCCGAACCTTATCCTGCGTTTTTTCTCTTCTGCGCGCCTGTTTTAGCGGTGTGAATTACGCGAGGCTCCTCAGATTCTCGTTTGCGTTTTGTGGGTTCAAGTTATAGGGTCGAGTTGCCATACAGCGATTCGCTTTGCTTAGTATTGGCACGAAGAGAAGAAAGAGAGAGGAAGAGAAGAAAGAGAGAGAGTTGCTCGTGCTTAATACGCGTCTATTTATAAAGATTAGAAACGACCACGCTTCGCAGAATTAATGAATGTTTAACGCCATCGTCTGTAAAGTTAAGGCAAAATTAAAGGAATAGGCACAGTCAACATAACTCATCTAAATTTTTCAGATAATGATATAGATATTTTTTAGATTCTTAGTAATTTACGTCCTAATGCTATCTTGTCAAACGCTATTTTGCCGATTTCACGGTTGGAATTATATTACAATAACTTTATAATTGAAATAACATTCTAATTATCCTAAATTGCGATTAGAATTTACCAATATATAGTCATATATATGCAATTATATATAACTACAATTATAATATACAATAATCACAATGAGAGATATTATAATTATAATTAAAACGAAAAAATAAATAAATATAAAAAATTAAGGGTGTCGAATCAAATACGCTTATTTATAAAAATCGACTTGAAACGACCTTGATATAGGTATGTCGATGCTTCGATTCGTTTGAAAATGAGGAACAATTCGGCTACAGTGACGCGCGCGAAGATCGCATTCCAGATCGTCGTACGTGATGATTATTAAGATATTTGCCGTCGTGCTACGCGTTCTCGAGGGGAGAGAATCGGTGTTGCGTTACTCTGCCCTAATTTAGACGCACCGACGGCGCGACGCCGACGCCCACCGTCAGATTTCGTCGACGTGAGAATTCATATACGCGCCCACCAACATCAGCCGACGCGAATACATCTGTGCGAGGCGTCGTCTCCTCGTATCGTATCTTCATGGAACACATGTTGAACCAATATCAAAATAATCCGCCTTCGAAATTCCTAATATAAGGTATAATCTTAGTTCAGATATATCTTGATATCGAGAAAAAAAAAACTGTGATTATGATATAAAAATAGTCATCTGTGAAAATGATAAAACTTTTAAAAAGAGTTTTAAAAGCGTGTATCAAAGCGAGCGGTTTTTATTAAGAACCAGACTATATATAAATGTTTTAATTTCTATGAAATTTCTCAAAAATTATCATCTTGATGTGTCTTTTTGTTTTTATCTTTGCATTTATTAATTTGGCGATATATAATTCGTAAATATGCATCCGAAAGGCAGAGGCTTATTCTTAAAGCGAGACGCGCTTTCTCTTTGTTAGAAAATTTCTCTCGAGGCTCTTTTAACTCGTTTCGACTTTATATCGATGTACATTTCTAATATGAATATCTCGCAAGTCTATATCGGGATAAACGCGCTCCGGCTACATCGCGATACCTTATAATGACATCCTTACGACTCGCCAGAAAATGGGACGATGACGAATGTTATGTAAAAAGGTCTTTTTTTGCGCGCGCGAAAAGCTTAGTTTCCTTTACCTCTACTTTAGAAGGTCACTGCTTTTATTTTTTTAACATTGAAAAACTGGAAAAATAATAAAGATTGACACAGGGTTTTGATATCGGTCCTTTTT